TTTGCCCAGACTGGCCTGGACTGTGATCCTCCTGTTTTAATCTTCCCGCCATCACTGGGATGACAGGTGTGCACCACCATGCCCAGCTTTTTCCCTTTGAGATGGGGTCTTGCCAACGTTTTTTGCCCAGGCTGGCCTTTGACCATGATCCTCCCCACCTTAGCTTCCCAAGTAGCTAGGATTACAGTCCTGAGCTGCCAGCGCCTGGTTTGGGGTCTTAAGTGAAATTTAAGACTTCCACCCGCTACTATTTTGTGCTCTAAGACATACTTTAGCTTACCTGGTCACTACCATCAGCTTGGAGTTGCTGAAAGTCTAATTTGTATGAAAATATTCCATATTTTGGACTTCGTACGGTTTCTTGCAAGAGTAGGAAGCATAATGGTGTATTTGATAACTGAAGTAGGTATGTATGGAGGTCTAATTTCCATACTGTAGTCTGTTAACTTAGAGTACTTAAAAATCACTACCAGCTTACATTTTGCTGAATTTTCTGTCCTAGGTTTTTCTTAAATTCTTGTCCTGTATTACGTAGAGTGGATTATATAAAGTGTCCTGTGGATTTCTTGTCTAGGACTTTTGGGGAGAGTCCACACATTATTTCCTAAAGGTGAAATCCCCACCCATACCTTCCAAGAGCTCTGACCCATGGTTTCTCTTTTCCTTGGCTTTAACAACATCCTTTGCTGGTTCACTGTGAACATCGGGAACACACTCCTCAAGGTTTCCTAGAAAACCTCACAGGGTTCTGCAGTGCTGGGGTCATTGCCTGCACATGGCACGCTGTTTTCTTATGGTTAGCTTGATGTGGCATGAGGTTAGGTCGCTGCCACTTTGTTTCTGCCACTACTGGACGGGACAGTGTGCATTTGCACACAGCGACAAAGAAAGCGGGAACTGGAGAGGCAGGTGCTGACTTCTCAGGAAGATGGCTGGCAGGAAAGGAGGGGAGGAAAGGAAGGAAGGAGAAAATGATGCTTTACAGACTTGCTCAGAATATTTGTTTCCCGTGAGTAGTGTGCTTCTGTCTGGTTTGGGCCCAGACTGACTCAGCGGGGAACAAACCAGTTACACATGGCCAGGGACCTTCAGCCTTTCTCTGTAATGAGAGGGATGGTCTTGATTAGGTAACGTTCACAGTAATGATTCTGCAGTAAACAGTACTGCGTGTCTGAGGAAGAGGAGGAGGGTAAAGAGGAGTAGGGGTGCGTTCCTGCATAGACAGGAAATTGCATATTCCTAAGTTGCTCGTTTTCTTTAAAGAGAGTTAGTTACTGGGCTGCTGATGTAGCTCAGTGGTGGAGACTTGCCCTGCGTATGCAAGGCCTTGGGTTTTTACCCCAGCACTACAAAGAAAGATCCTGGAGTCCCTGGAGTCTGGGACAGGAGTTCAAAGGGCAGCCTGAGCAACATAACTAGACCCTGTCTCAAAACAAAGCTGTTGTCATACTCAGTATCTCCTAGGTGACTGCTCTCGTGCTCCTGCCTTTCTGCAAATGCAAGTTTTCCTCAGTAAAACAGAGTTGAATTGTTTGGTGTGTGGCTATATTTACTTCTATTTAGTGTTGATTTTATGTTTTGCTGAAGTCTTAGCATATTTGATTGTGGAATACTGCCCCTGACTCTGCCATATGTATATATGGTACATCAGGTATTATGTTTTCAGAATCTGGCTGATTCTGAGTTATAAGATACATCTTACCCTCCCTGGGTTTTTTTTCTTTGGCACTGGGGCTTGAACCAGGGCCTACACCTTGAGCCACTCTACCAGCCTTTTTTTTGTGATGGGGTTTTTTTTCAAGATAAGATCTCACGAACTGTTTGCCCAGGCTGGCTTTGAACTGGGATCCTCCTGATCTCTGCCTCCTGAGTAGCTTTTGTTACAGGTGCGAGCCACCAGCACCCAGATTCCAAGGGTTTCTTTATTTGCTTGCTTTGGTGCTTTAAGACAGGGTTTTGCTATGTATCCCATGCTGGCCTCAAACTTTCCTTCCTCCTGCCTCAGCCTCCTGAGTGGTAGGATTACAGGTGTGTCCTACCATGCCCAGCCTAGAAGCCAGCATCTTGAAAAGATTATTTAGGAGGCCTGAGTCAGGTAGTTGCTGCTCTTCCTGGCCATAGTTGTACAGCTCTGAGTGCATCGCTTAGCTTCTTTGTATGTTGTTACCTGTAGACATGAGTATCAGGCTGGGCTTCAGACTGCCGTCCATATGCTTGCTATGCCTCCTCACTCAGAGATAGCAAATATTTCCAAATGGCCTTAGAAAATACCCTTTTTGTTTTTTCTGGTGGTTTGAACTCAGAGGGTTAGAACTCAGGTCCTCTTGAGCCATGCCCTCAGCCCTTTTGGCTTTAATTTTCCCAGCAGGGTCTCACTTTTGCCTGGGGCTGGTCTCAGACCAAGATCCTTCTACCTTCACCTTCCACATAGCTGGGATTGCAGGTGTGTTGTACCACTCCCGACTTGTTTTGTTTTGTAGTACTGGAGTTTGTACTCAGGGCTTACACCTTGAGCACATCCACCAGCCCTTTTTTCTGTATGATGGGTTTTTTCAAGATAGGGTCTTGTGAACACTTTACCTGAGCTGGCTTCCAACTGAGATCCTTCTGACTTCTGCCTCCTGAATAGCCATGATTACAGAGGTGAGCCATTGGCCCCCCGGCAACAAAATGGTTTTTGTTTTGTTTTGTTTTTGGCAGTACTAGAGTTTGAACTCAGGGTCTCGTACTTGCTAAGCAGATACTCTACCATTTGAACAATACATCTAGTCCTAATTTTTTTTAATGTGCAGGAAAAACAGGTTAATTATAGGGAAAGAATATAAAATAGTATAAAAGAGCTGACTGTCACTATAATTTTTTTTGTCGTTCACCATACATTTTGGACATCATCTATTAACTACCTGTTATAAAACAAGAGAAAAGAGTTTTTAAGCTGGGGAGCCTATGGCTCACACCTGTAATCCTAGCAACTCGGGAGGCTGAGATTGGGAGGACCAAGTTTCAAGGGTAGCCCAGGCCAGTAGTTCTCAAGAAGCCATCTCCAAAATAACCAGAGCAAAATGGACTGGAAGTGTGGTTCAGGTGGTAGAGCGCCTGCCAACAAGCTGGAGGCCCTGAGTTCAAACTCCAGTCCCACAGAAAAGGGGTGGGGAGGGAGAGGGAGAAAAAAAGTTTTTAGAAGCATGGGGGTAAATACCAGAAGAAACAGCTACAAGAAATGAAATCGTTTGCTGTGGGTGGCCTGCTTTTTGTTACACATATCTCTTGTGTTTTCATTTGTGTGTGTGTGTGTGTGTGTGTGTGTGTGTGTGTGTGTGTCGATAATAGGAAGTAGAAAAGTTGATTTATAAAAGACAATAGGAAACATGGATAAGCAAAATTAAGTGACAGGTGCCTCGTATCACATCCTAGATCTAACCTCCGGCATGTTGCTTGTTTTATTTGGTTTGTTTGATTGTAGCTTCTATCTCTTTAAAGAAGAAGTTGAACCCGCAATGCAGTGAGCACCTGTAGCTCCACTCAGGTTCAGTAGTTAATGACGGTTTGCCACTGTTTGCTCACCATATTTGTGTGCACGTTTATACATTGTTTCTGAATCATTTGAAAATGAATTGCAGATTCATCTGTAATCTGAATTCAGAATGCCCCGACAATCTGGAACGTTTTTCTTCCCAAGCATTTTGGGCAAGGGGTGCTCAGCCGGTGTGACAGACAGTTCAACCCTAACTACAACTGCTACTCACCTGCCTCTCCTAGAGATGTGGGCGGTGGTCTACATCAGCATACCAGTGCCACACCGGGAGGTCAGCATTAACTCCCTAGTGTCATTTAACATTCAAATTATATTTGCGTTTTTCCAGCTGACCCCAGCATGTCTTTGTGGTTTGTTGTTGTTGAGCTGGTGGCATTTTTTTGGTGGTTGTTTGGTTGGTTTTGTTATTTTTGAGAGACAGGATCTCACTATGGTCTAGGCCCAGCTGGCCTGGAATTCACTGTGTAGCCCAGGCTGGCCTTAAACCCAGTCCTCCTGCCTCAGCCTCTGGCATGTGCCACACACCTGGCTCAATGTCTTTTATACTTGGGACTCTTTCTTATGCTTCTTGGTGTTGAACTGAGATCCAATCAGTTTCTATGCTGCATTCAGTCGTTGTGTCTCTATCCTTTCTAGAATTACCTCCCACCTTTTTCCATGACTTTAAGTTAGCACAAAGGAGCTTATATTTTATGTATTTTTGCAACTTTTGGGTTTGTGCTTTACGTCCTGGATTTGGGGTACCCATGTGACAGTTGCATCTAAGGTTCCCCACAGCCTGGTGCTGATGTGCCTTTCCACATTTCCCCTGGCGCTCTGTAGGCCGTCCTCCACTCCTGGAACCGCTGGCCTCCGTGGCAGCCGGCCATCCTCTGCTTTTACCCATCTTCCACCCTGGCCCAGCACACTGGGCTATTTTGTTCCTCACTTGAAACACCTCTCTGGTGTTGGATCCACTTATCAAAGCCATGAAACTAGACTTTGTGGCTTAGTGGATGGACATCTAGTAGGACAGAAAGCTGGCTTTCAAGTCTGCACTGAGGACTGGTAACTCAGGACTGTGATAAAGCCTTCCAAGAGGAGTGTCCCAGGCTTAAACCAGGGTGGGAGTAAGTGTTCGTGACGAACCTGTGGCTATAGGGGAGACGGATGTGGAAAGTCAGCTATTAGAGGGCTTCAGAAGCAGAGGAACGCTCCTGTCTGCTGTGTGCAGAATTGAATGAAGCTCAGTGAGATGACTTAGGTGAGGGGCTCTGAAGATACTCTGTCGTCATTTAGCTGTGACTGGGCTTTCAGCAAACACAAGGGAGTGGGGTATTTCGGGTTAGAGGAGGGATGTTCTGGGAGGTTGGTTTAATTATTACAGGATTTTAGAGAATTTCCCAGTAGTGCTGTGAGGAACCTTAAATTGCTACTCCTCTGTGTGGGGATAAGGGTGGGTCTGATCGCCTCTGTTTTCTTACAGCTCTATTATCAGGTCCTGAATTTTGGCATGATCGTGTCCTCGGCCCTCATGATCTGGAAGGGGTTGATGGTAGTCACTGGAAGTGAAAGTCCAATTGTGGTGGTGCTCAGGTAACATTTATGTTTTCTTTTCAAGGCATGGACTTGGAGGGTATTGCTTAGGAAAAAAATGAGACACTGAATAACTGGTATTTCAGTCCCTTAGGAAGTATTTCCCACAAGAGGACGTGGGAGAAATTGGGAGAGATTTTCACCTGGCTAGGCACGCCTGTTCAGAACCCCGAGGGCCATGGCCTTTGCACAAAAAAGTTCCTGTGGAGCTTGTACTTCACTTTCCTGAAATGCTTCTGTCTTAGCTCCTTCACTTTGGTACAGGAAGCTGACAATGAGTTGTTTGTTGGCTAGATTGTAGGTTCCTGCACAAATGAGTTCCTCTGAAGCATGTTCTCTTAGGGTCAGTACAGAAGCATCACTGATTGTTCTGTATTTTCTGTTGACCTTTAAATATCACTTCTAAACTAGAGAACTTTGTAGGTATTGATACCATCTCTTTAATACTGAACAGTACTAATATAGAGACAAATAGTCACTGAATATTTTTCCTCAACCTTCTTCCTTCCATGTCTTTGCACTCATGCTCTTAGTGATTTTTAAATCTAATTTGGTAACTCATTTTTGGAGAATTATCTCTTTGTTGTTTAACTGAATCATAGTTCTCTCTTTGAGTTTAATTTTGTAACTATTTCAAATCCCTTCTGGAGATGATAGAGTAGGAACATAAAACAAATAGGATTATAATATAACATACTCTAGAGTCTAAATGATAGCATTTACTCCTTTTTTAACCACTTTGTTGAGGTAGATTGACAAAAGTAGTACATGTTTAATCTGTACGACTTGACAGATTGGAATAAGTGCCTATCTGAAACTGTCACCAGTCAGCACCATAAATACACCTGTCACCCTGGCACATTCCTCAGTTTCCCTCCTCCTCCTTCTCCTCCTCCTCGTTTTTGTAATGAGGACATGTAGTTTCACTGTTAAAACCCACTTTTTCATTGTCATGCTAATATATTTTGAGCTCAAACAAGGGTTTGGAGGCCTTAGGTCTCTGGTTTCTTGCTGACTTTTTTTTTTTTTAGTAAAAGTAATAATAAAGTTTATTAGTGGAACAAGGGGGGAGAAAAGAGAGACAGAAGCATTTCTGTTTCCCATGCAGGAAATAGGAGCAATGATTCCTCTTGCTTACACTTTACTTGTACTTTGATTCTGCCTTTGGACCGTTATTTGGTGGGTAGTGTATTTGTATACTAAGCTTTTTGATTGCCAGTCTGAGATGAGAAAAGAAATGAAGACCAATTATATTGGACAAGAATTCTGGTTGAGACCAGAAAGAGGAGCCTTCATGAGAAAGGCAACTTACATGATTGCGTACCACATAGGTACCTGGCTAGGATTTCATCCACCTTTAAGAAATACCATTTTCATCTGGAGCTAACTATGCCTCAGATGGCCCATGCTGCCTGGGGAAGCCTTTAGAGGAAAGATAAACACTTTCAGGTTTTTTTTTTTTTTCCTGTTTACAGAGCAGAAACCCATTAGGAAATAATAGTGTGTTTTTCTTGGGGATGTAACTCAGTGGTAGAGCTTTTGCTAGCCTACACAAGGCCCTGGGTCCCATGCCCATTACTGTAAATAAATAAATAAATAAATAATCAGTCAATCCAGAATATTAGCTTTGTTTTCGTTTTTCTTTTTTGAGTCAGTGTCGCTGTATAGCCTGGCTGACCTCAGACTTTGCAACAATACTCCTTCCTGTGCCTCCCAAGTGCTAGCATTGTAGTACATATTGCCACGTCATGTCTGGCTTAACCTTTTTTTTTTTTAATGTAACTTAAAATTTATTTTCCAGGGCTGGTAGAGTGGCTCAAGTGGTAATGCACCTGCCTAGCAGTTGTTGGCCCTGAGTTCAAACAACATTACTGCCAAGAACAAAATTAAAAATTTTAAAATAGAGCTCTCAAATGATCTAGCAATCCCGCTACGAGGTATGTAGCCAAGGAAAGTGAAATCAGTATGTTGAGGAGACGAGTGCCCCATGTTCATTGCACCACTGTTCACAGCAGGCAAGAAAAGAAAACAGCTGTGTGTCTATCACCTAATGAGTGGACAAAGAAATACAGCATCCGTGCTCGATAGAATCCTAGTCAGCCATAAAAAAGGATGAATTGTCACTGGCAATGTGGATGGAACTGGCTGGTCATTGTGTTACATGAATAAGTCAGGCACAGAAAGACAAATGCTGCATGCCCTCACTCTTAAGTCTGAAACAGCTGATCAGATAGAAGTTGAGAGTAGGGTGCTGGTCACCAGAGGCTCAGGGCAAAAGGGAAGTGGGGAGGAATGGGAAAAGGCCTGTGGGTTCTAAGTTGCAGCTAGGAGGGTTGACTGGGTCATGATCATGGGCTGGGGCTGTATATTTCAGAAAATCAAGGAGAAAGGATTTTGAATGTTTTTATTCTGAAAGATTATGAATGGTTTGAAGAGGTAGATATGGTAACACTACATAGTGCATGCCATTTACACATCACTTGGTACCCATAAATATGCACAGTTTTAATGCTTCATTTAAAAAATAAAGTGTACCATGATTGATATATTAAGTTTAAAGTATAATTTAATCAGATAATAGTAAGGCTTACTAGAGGTTTATTTAATGTCTGAAGTTTTCCTTGGTTTACTTCTTTAATGGTCCTCTTAGACTGGGGTGTATAGCTCAGTGGCAGAGTGGTTACCTAGCATGCAGGGGTCCCTGGTTCAACTCCCACCACTGCATGTATATATATACACATATAGTGTGGGTGTGTGTGTGTGTGGGTGAGTATGCATAATATTAATAGTTTTAAATGATCTCACTACATAGTTTTATTTATTTATTTATTTTTGGTGGCACTGGGGTTTGAACTCAAGCCTCATGCTTACTAGGCAGGCCCTCTACCACTCGAGCCACTCCACCAGCCAGTTTTCTGTATTGTCATTGCCATGTATATCTGAATTTCTAAGTTGTTTCTTTTCTTATCAGCTTTCTTTTCTAAAGTCTAGACTCTCGTTTTCACATTGTACTGGACATGTCCATCTGCACGTTGACCTGGCACTTGATACTCTTCGTGATAAAAATAAATTCATTCCTTTTCTCAGAAGCTCTCCTACTTCTGCGATTTTCATCATTATCTGCCCTGTTACTGTTGTTATTATCATCATTTTAGGTCTAGATTTCACATATGAGCAAAATGTGTACTTGGCTTTTTGAGCTTGGCTTCTTTCGCTTTACACAGTGATAGGAATCATTCTTACTGTCCTTTTTTAAAATTTTTGTATAATGATAGTCCAAGGGGGTTTCATTGTATTGCCATAGATATGTGCAGTGTGTTTTGAACAATTCACCCATATACTCCTTTAACCCCTTCCTCCTCCCTACCTTTCTCAAACAACTTTGGTATATTTCATTGTGTTTCTTCACACACACACACACACACACACACACACACACAATGTACTTCAATCCTCTTTGTCCCCTCCCTCCTCCTGCCGGTTCTGCCCCTCCTCCACAGTCTTCCTTTTACACTCATGCCCTGTTACTGTTAATATTTTCATCATTTTAGGTCTAGATTCCACGTATAAGCAAAACATGTATTTGGCTTTTTAGCTTGGTGTCTTTTGCTCTCTACATTGATGATGGTCATTCTTGATTACTCTCTACCACATCTAATTGGCCACCAAATTTGCCACTTCCCTCTCTCCAGTCCACCTTTTGTAGCTGTTCTCCCTGCTACTGTTCTATTTCAGGCCCTTGTCATTTCCTGCCTGTGCTGTTGTGGTGATCTTCAGAGAAATGCTTTTATAATCAGAAAAAAAGTTAATATATTTTCATTATATGAAATGTTGAAAACACACAAACAAATCTAGATGAAACCATGACTTGTAATTCTGAGATGTAATCACTGTTAACATTTCAGACTTGTGTGGACTTTTTTACATAACTGAGATAATTCTGTATGTGCATCCTTTTCTCTATTTTCCTCTTTATCATTTGCCTGTGTCCCTCTTCACAAGAATTTTAAATTAATACTTTTAATCGCAACTGAGTATTCATTTGTAACAATCAGGTATTCAGTTGCAGTAATAACCTGCACCACTGTCTTTGAGTCTGTCTTCTCATCTTTTCTTGGATGTCCATTAATTCAGCAGATATTTGAATGTCTTCTACATACTCTATAACTTTTGAAGTGATCTTTCTTCAAGTAAAGGTTTAGTTGAAGAAAAGGTGTCACTGATTTAAAAAGTGACTCAGAGTAATAACTTCTGTAATGTTTTCACCAAACACATAGTCCATCTTCTTTTTGAACACCTTTGGAAACAGCGAGCTCACTGCCCTGTAAGGCACTGTAACACAGCTTTAGGAATAAATTCATATGGAAAATCCTATTTCCAGTGGTTTCCGGTCTTGTTTGGGTTTTTTGTTGTTGTTATTGTTTGGTTTTTTTTTTTTGGGAGGCAAGAGCTTGCTATATGTGAGCCCTGACTGGCCTCGGCCAATCCAGTGCAGGGATTACAAGTATGTACCACCATGTCCAGCTCATCCCTGGGGATGTTTAAGAAGTGATGCTGCCTTCTGTTCCCAGACACGCTGATGACCTGGCATGAGCCTCTTTTGAAAGAGTCACTTACTGATGACAGCGGTTCCCCTCGCGTGGAGGGAGGGGCTAGAGGCCTCAGGCAGCCATGAGCCTACTTTGATGTCATTCCTGTTCTCAATTTTGTTTCCTGATTATCTGTTTTCTTCTTATTAAAGCTATTGTAATGGAAAGCTGGAACTTTTTTCCCTCAGGTTTTCTTTTCTTTTTTTTTTTAATGTGAAATGTAAAATGAATTCAACCTTTGTAATCATCGGGCAAGTTAAATACACAGCATCTGCTGGGCAGGTTCAAGCCAGGCCCATGGCATCTCATCAGGGTTTCTTGCTGTACTGATTTACTTACAACATCTCCATTGAAAGCTGGAGCTTGAGTTCCTGAAAATGTGCTGATAGACCACTTCTTCATAGAAAAAAAGGGTTCAAATTTGAACTGTCACACATAGCTGGTGGAAATGCAAGAGGCTACAGCCAGTTTAGGAAAAAGTTTGGCAGTTTCTTAGAATTTTAAACATAAAATACCATGTGACCCAGCAGTCTGACTCCAAAGTATATACCCAAGAGAACTGAAAAGTTATATTCAGACAAGGCCTGTAGAAGAGGAGAGAAAGATGGTAAGTTAGTACAAATATCTTCAGTGTTGTAGTCCTTTTCAGAACTGGTGTAGGGCAGAGGAGGTGAAAGGTACACTGTGGAAGTTTGCCTGAGTTTTCACCACAGAATTGAATTCTTTCCTCATTCCTAAAATTCTTAGGCACAAAGCTCTGCTCCACTGGCCTTTAACTTCTTTTTTCTCTCTTTTTAATTTTTTATTAGGGTATATTCATTCTACAGGGAGGGGATTAGACTTCTACTGAACATTATGTACATTGCCCCCATCCTCTCTCCTCATCCTCTCCACATTTCTTTGTCTTTAAACATGAATAAAAAGTAAATTGATGGCTCCAGTGTTATCTCTGTGGCTGAGGGTTTGGTTTGATGAGCTGTTTTCCTCTGCAGTGTGCTGAGTCGTAAGGTCATCTTGGTCTGTCTGTATAAATGGCAGAAGATCCAGTTCTCATTTGAATATGTTTAGTATTTTCAGTTGAAGCGAGAATAAGGGCAGTGTTTTTAAAGTTCACTCTTTACATTCTGTTTGTCATTTGAAATTTGAAAAGGTTAAGGAATTAGTAACACTGCCCTTTTCAAGACCTAAAGTAATGCTTGACGTGGATCTGGTTAGGGAAGGCTAATATCTAAAAGAAATCTATTATTTGTCTAGGGAATATGTTTTGAGAATAATACTCATTTATGGCCATGTAGTTATGGCGTTGAGAACACCACAGAAGTGGTATTTTTGATCACTCTATTGAATGTCTAATTTCGAAAGTCAGTTTAATCTGGTGATGTTCTGTTCTTTCCGTTCCAGTGGCAGCATGGAGCCTGCGTTTCATAGAGGAGATCTTCTCTTTCTGACAAACCGAGTTGAAGATCCCATACGAGTGGGAGAAATTGTTGTTTTCAGGATAGAAGGAAGAGAGATTCCTATAGTTCACCGAGTCTTGAAGATTCATGAGAAGTATATGTTAATTATGTTCTCCATTTAGAAATATTCTTGTTTCAGTGTTTGCAGCATTCATTTAATAGCATAAAGATTGTGAAAGAGGGAGCTGGTGGAGTGGCTCAAGTGGCAGAGCACCTGCCTAGCAAGAGTGAGGCCCTGAGTTCAAACCCCAGTGCTGCCAAAATAAATAAATAAATTGATAACAAAAAACAAGGTTGTGGAAGAATGAGAGGCCCTAGGCCTCCCCAGTCCACTTTTTGAATGACTGAAGGTTCGGTGAACATTTGGGAAGCTGCAAATATTTATTCATTTATTTCCCTGAATATTTTTCCAGATTTTTTTTTCATTCTTTTCTACTTTACTACCAGTTAGTAAGCCTATAACTCCTAAAAAACATGATTTAAAGATTGATCCTAAATGGATTCTTCTGATATAGAAGATAGAATAACATAGCTCACATCTTAAGAGAGAGAGAGAGAAGAAACTATAAAACAGTCTGAGGGACATTTGAAATAAGAATAAATTTATCATTTTTATTTTTTGGTGCTGGGAATCAAACCCAGGGCCTCAAGCATGCTGGGTAAGTGCTCTCCACCTGAGCTATGTCCCTAGGCCTGAATTTACCAACTTTTAAAATTCACAATAAAATTTCTGAAGTCTGAAGTTCCTTTCTTCTAAATACAGAGTCTTATGTTTTAGAATCAGAAGGGCCATATGTAAAAACCTTAACATCACCTCAGGGTGGAAGTGAGGCACAACAACGAGCAAAGCTTTCAGCTCTTGAGAGTCAGTTTCCTAGCTGTGAGTGTAGAGAGCGTGGGAAGATGAATGGCAAGATCTCTGTTCAGCTGCGTAGTCCTTGCCCTTCCTTTCATAGCTGTAGTATTCATATGAAGGAAGATCTCCCCAAGGGAAGAAAAGAAAGAAATTAAAAAGGGAGGTGTCCTAAAGGACACACTGAGAGGAAGTGTGATAGGCTCGAATGTGAGGAAGCCCTAAACAAATACCATTCTTATAACATAGTTTATTTTCTCCACTTGAAAAGAGAGGGGCCACTCACCTGTAATGCCAGCTGCTCGGGAGGTGGGGGCAGGAGGGTCAGGAGTTCCAGGCCAGTATGGGCTACGTAGTGAGACCCTGTCTCAAAAAGTAAGGAGAGAGAGCTGTCAACCACTGATGAGGGCATGACTGCTTTTATTTTTTGCTTACCAGATTTCAGTATTTACTTTGGAAGATTATTTAAAACGATAATCCATTTTTGACTGGGAAGGAATAACCTTTAAAAGTTTGGAGATTTATTTGGGGATAATAGAGGATTATTTCACACAGATGGCGTTTTCCAGATTCTCAGAGAGGGTTTGTATTACCCATTTCTGTCGATGCTATGAGCAAAACGAAGCCAAAACTCAGACCTGTCTGCGTTTATCAGGGAAAATGACGTCAAGCCCAGGCCCCGCTTTGGCCGCAGGAGTTCTCCACTTTAAGGCATGATCTTCAGACCTGAGTGAGCTCTGTGGACTTGACTTTAAAACAGTTCTTCTTGCTTCACTGCCAGTTCATTGACAGATAATACGCTGAGTATTATTATTAAATTTTTGAGTATAGACTCAAAAATTTTAGAGATGATTTTCAGCAGAATTCTGAAGATTGGAAGATTGGTACTTGTAATCTGGAGGTTTTGGTATTTTGTTTTAGGTAAACTCTTGGGAAACCTTCACGCTGTAGGCCCGGCTGGCTAGGTAACAGACTGTTCTTCAGAAATTTTCTGCTTCCTTTTTTTCTTTTGGGGAGATTGAAATACCTCGTTGAAATTACTTTCTTTTTTTTTTTTCCTTTTCTTGGTGCTGGAATTACAATTTGATTGAATAGTATTAACATTGTTCTTAAATAAGAAGCCAAATGATAACTAAATGTATGTGTTTCGTAAGTTCAGTCTTCAGGAGATATTGTAATTTGATAATATTAAATCCTGGCATGTCATCAAGTATTCGCCAGGAGAAATTTGTCACTAGTCCTTAGCTTTTTTCCCTCGAAGACAGGTAAATTATCCTGCCGACATTTGACTTTTGGGTCTGGGTTGGTTTTTTTTTGTTTGTTTGTTTGTTTTTTATGATTATTTCTTCCCCTCTAATGTCACAATATTGTGATGTATTAAATTGTAAATGCTTTGAGCTTCTTAGAGGTAAATATTACATTTTTTGCCCCTGTGCTAGCAAGGCAGAAGTTCTATAGAAATGTGTAAACAGGCATAGTCAGTATTTTGAGCCTATGAGTTGGGAGGTGATGGAGTAGGTATGACTAGGTCTAACCAGAGTATTTGACCCACCATTGAGTAGATGGAGATGTGTCCTTTTTTTAAAAAGGGAAGTCAAGTCTTTGGGAACACCTGAACCTAGAGCAACGGCATTCCTCCCTTCTTTCGTGTTTCTCCCTTCCCTTTCCCCGAGCAGTTTCCCATCTCCTGTTTTCTCTGTCCTCATTCTGGTTTTACTTTTCTGCATCTGTGGGGTTGGTGCATTTTCCTTGTTGTGTTGACCCATCCTTCCTACTGTTCCTGGCTTTCACTGGAAGCTGTCCCCTTTGACCCTCTAGGGTTTTTCAGACACTCTTCACTGACTGAGTTGTCAGCCCTCGGTTACTTTTCTCTGTATACATTAGCGTTTTTTTAACTGGAGTCTCATTTTTAATGTGCCTTTTGCACTTAGCTATCTTTGGTTTGCAACACCTCCCAATTTAGTTTTATCTGCAGATTTAGCGTCTAGGGAGCCAGTTTCTGACTTAGAATCAAAGTGGATATTACACAGTAGAAATCTGAGGCTAATTCTTTGTTCTCATATGGTGGAAAACCTAAAGACTGGTAAACCTAAGGCTGGTCTTTATTAGCTATGAAATGTACTTTGCCTTCAGCTAAATTGTAAAATAGTAGAATTCTCATCATTATTTGAATCAAATCAATAACTTTCTGAAGAAGTGAGACATTTTCTATAAATCTTGGCATATTTAAAGAATTGATATGCTTTTCGTTTTAAAACTATTTTTCATAATAAAGTAATGTTTGTTGGAGGAAAAATAAGATAAGCTATAGAAAGTCATGGGTAGCCACTGTTTATATTTTGATCTGTGTTATTTTAGATTTATTGAATACCTTTCTTTTTGTTTTTATTTTATATTCTGGATTTAGAGATTTTTAGTATGCACAGAAGAGTATAATGATCCCCATGTGTCTTCCACCTATCCCAGTAATGTGGTTAACGTGTGGCCAAGTCCGTCTACACTTTCACCTCTCCTCCTGTTTTCTATTGAGTCAAATCTTAGGCATCACGTCATATGATAATGACATTACATTTCTATAAACATAACCACTAGGCTTTTATAAAGCATCGCTAATTAGCACAGCTACACTAAAAGTCCTTAGCAATTCCTTAGTATCATTAAGTTTCCAGTTATGTCATAAATTTTTTAATCATTTGTTTGAACCCAGATCCAAATAAGGTCTTTGGCTGCAGGTGTTGGTCTGGCTTTCTAGACTCCTTTCATCTGAACGCTCCCTGTGCAGCAATCCTTGCTCCTTGCAGCATGTCGCTTGAAGACCTGGGTCTGTGGCCTCCATAGCCTGCTTTTTACTAACTATCCTGTAGGGTCACTTAATGTGTTCCTTTGCTCTTCATTTTTCCACAAGTTTGTTTGGTTGTATATCTTAGTATAAAAATGAGATTACTGCATATGCTGTTTTGTAATCTTGTCTACACTTAGAATTTGTATGAGCTAGTGTCATGAAATACTCTTATGCAAGGCTGGCAGAGTGGCTCAAGTGGTAGAGCACCTGCCTACCAAGCATGAGCCCTGAGTTCAAACCCCAGTGCCATTAAAAAAAAAATTTTTCTACAATATTGTTCTTAATGCTTCCGTAGTATTTTAAGTCTTTAGCATTGGATTTTTGGTTTGTTTTACTCTTTAGTGTAAACAGCACAGCTGAGAGCACCTTCTTTGGCAATTAAAGAATGAGTACTAGGAGTGGCAATTGCCACTCCAGTATCACAGGAGGTCTGGTTTATCAATGCTTCCAGATGCCACAGGGCATTTGATGATGAGCTTTCTTTACTCCTTCCAGGCAAAATGGCCACATCAAGTTTCTGACCAAAGGAGATAACAATGCTGTTGATGACCGAGGCCTCTATAAACAAGGGCAGCACTGGCTAGAGAAGAAGGATGTCGTGGGGAGAGCCAGGGGGTAAGTCCAGGGGAGCACACGGAGCTTTGCGTACACTCTTACAGTAATGTTGTCTGTGCACAGCTGAACACATTGGCTTGGTCCAAGTCTCCTTTCTGTATTTGAAAAGTGTGCTTCTTCAAATTCATCTATGTCCTCAGCCTTACTACTCCACAGAAGGAGCAGGGACACACAAAGAGCAGCATATTGGTGATGGGGCAGTGAATCGGGTATGACTGCTTAAACATTCATTTGCTTATTCACTTCACTTGAGATGTTGCTCGGCACGTTCCAGATGCTTCCATGTCCGTGCTGGGCTGGGCAGGGCAGTGGGGATCCACAGTGGTATTCATTTTCCTTCACTGAACTTAATTTCTTAAGAATTTACTGAGTCAGCAACTTATAAATGTTCATCTAGGTTAATTTTGTCATGCTAATTTATTCCATACTGTTTTATTTCTAGTCTTGAAGCTGATGAGGTCAAATGAAATCTAAAAATTATATTAAGCCTGTTTATTTCAGATATTATCATGAGAAGAGATCAGTGGAGAACAGGAATTGTAAGTTACTGGTGTAAGGAAGTATGGAATTATTGCTACCTTACTGTTTTAACAGTATTAACAGTAACTCACCTTTACTGGCATTCACTGTATGCAGAGACTCATCGTAAGTGTTTTATAAGTCACCTCATTTTAACCTCCCATTCTACAGATGAGGAAACAGACAAGTTGTGTCACACTGATGGTGACAGTAAGTGGCCAGCAGCCCCAGGGCATACCTTCTGAACCAGCACTGCAGATTACTACGTAACACTTCCCTAGAGGGTAGTGCTGGTTCTCACTGTGGATACACTCTGTGCACCCTTGCACTGAACAGAGGACGTGCAGTTACTAAGCGAAGGTGCCCTTGGTTATAGGGTGGTATGAGCTTGGGTTGGGTTAGAACAAGCACCATTGTGCTTTGTTTTGTCCCCCACAGAGTGGGGGGGGGAGTGCATGCACACACATGTCCTACTTCAGGGGAATTTCATTTTGTTTCCTGTGGTGAAGCTTAACAACCCACATTGGGTCGTCTGTGCTTCTGAGAGATAGTTGTCACTGTCTCCCTCAGTTCCTAGGATGGGTTACTCAAACTCATCAACCCTTTGAATCTTGTTGATTCTCCTGTAGCAGTAAGGGAATACCAGTCGTCCCCAGAAGCTGAGGTCTCTACTGTCCTTTACCTCCGAAGTATTTGCTGTTAATCTTGATGTATGGACATAGGATGCAGATACTACTATATACATGCATAAAAACGGTCACACTGCTTTATTACCCCCTTTCTCTCCAAGTGTTCGTAATATACTTAGAAATCACTGAGTTTGTCATCATTTGCAAAGTCCCTGTTACTCCACTACATGAGTGGATCATATTCTTATTGATCAGTCTCCTACCATTAACTATGCTGTTTCTAGGTTTTGCAATTTGTGGGTTTTTTTTTTTTTTTCTTTTTGTGGTACTGGGGTTTGAACTCCGGGCCTCATCCTTACTAGGTAGGCGCTCTACCACCTGAGCCACTCTACCAGTCCTTTTTTGTAGGTATTTTTGAGATAGGTCTCCTGAACTATTTGCTGGGGTTGGCTTTGAACTGTGATCCTGATCTCTGCCTCCTAAGTTGCTCGGATTACAGGCGTGAACCACTGGCACCTAACTTGTTTTGTTTTTTTTTTAAATGGGGTCTGACTTTGTACCCAGGCTGGTCTTGAACTCCTAGTCTCAAGTGATCCTCCTACCTCAGCCTCCCAAGTAGCTATAGAACCATAGGCCTGCACCACTGCGGCTGACTTGTTTCTAGTTGTTTATTGTCAACATTGTTATGATAGATGGTACATATATCTCTGTGCCTTTGCCCAGTCTTCACAGTCAATTCCAAGAAATGGAATTACTGGGTGAAATAATGCATATTTTAAGACTTCTGTACCCCTATCAGGATGACAGCACGCCTTCATATGGGTTTGATCCCTGAGTGTTTGTTATACCTGTGTGCTCACTCTGCCCTTTGTTGGGTAAAAGATGTATCATTCTACAAAGGGTTGGAAGAGGTAGGCTTTTGCTCAAGTAGCTAGTGTTTCTGAAGAATTTTTGAAAAAATCTCAAAGTATATGTAATTCTATTTCTAAAATCCTAACTTTAAGCCAGGCATGGTGGCTCAAGCAGGAGGATTGTGAGTTGGAAGCCAGCCTGTGCTACATAGCAAGACCCTGTCTCAAAATTAGTCCCAACTTTGAAAACATAGACCTTTTGCCAACTTTTAATAAAAACAAAAGTAATAGTCTGATACTTTCTGAATTAGTTGCCCTTCTGTGAGATGTGAACATCAGGAAGGCAGAACCTCAACTGCAAATTCACTTGGCAGTGGTTTCCCACCACTCACCTTGATGTGAACGCAAACCTATCACCTCCTTCTGTGGAGATTGTGTTTATAAAACACTGGGCTGATATTTCAAGTCACGCTGGACCCAAGTGTGACTTGAGGCTAGAGCTTTCCTGCAGGCAAGTCTGTGATCGTGGCTCAAACATCTTTAGGCATTTTGAAAAAATGTTTTGTTTTTTGACCCACTGCACACTGTGACCTGGGACTCTAAATCAAAATTGCTTTTTTTTTAAATCATTTTTACATGTACTTATATGTGTATACATTATTTGGGCCTCCTCCCCTGCAAATTGCTTTTCCTTTTACACATTTTGTTAAGTTAAAGTTCACATGTGTTGAGATATAAAATTTACCATTGTAAAGTGTACAACTCAGTGTTTTAGCATTCGTAAGTTTGGGCAACCATCACCAATGTCTGATTCCAGAGCATTTCCATCACCCCCAAAATAATGCTCGTGTCATTAGCAGTCACTCCCCATCTCTGTTTGCTGTCGCTTGGGGCAACCACTGATCCACTTTGTGTCTCTGTGGATCAGCCTGTTCTGATGTTTCCTATAAGCACACTCATATAATTTGTGTCCTTTTGTGTCTGGCTTCTTTCATCTATCCTAATTTTCAGGGTTCATCTTGTGGCATGTAATAAAAACAATTTTAGAAAATGAAACTAATACCGAACCAATGAAGTATTTAATAGGGGTGGGTCTTTTTAAATTCAGGAAGTTGAAAAACGAGAGTCAAAGAATAGAGAGCAATAGGAGAAAAAGTCTGGCAGAAGCGGGAGGAACAGAAATACCAGCAATGCAAGGAATAAAACTACGGAAGTGAAGAACTAGAAGTGCAAAGCTTGAAGTGCAGCACAAACAAGTGTTAAGGAAATGAAAATGGGAATTGGCTTGATTGGTTTAGCAAGTACTGTTTCAGGAGTTGAAATATTACATTGTGCCCCATTGAAATGTGCAAGTGGTACATGTTAATAAAAAATATGGCTGGCATGGCAGGGCACTATAATCTCAACTACTTGGGAGTCTGAGGCAAGAAGATCTCGAGTTTGAGGCCAGCCTGGACAGCATGGTGAGACCCTGTCTTAGTAAATCAATAATAAATTAGAAAACATAAAGAAGGAGCAAAATAACTGAACTTTCTTGGCCAAAATTAGTTTTTTGGGTTGGGAGAGGAGGGTCTTTTTGTTTTTGTTGTTGTTTTTTTCAGACAGGGTCTAACTATGTAGTCCAGGCTGGTCTTGAATTCGTGATCTTACTGCTTCTGCCTCCCAAGTGCTGGAATTGTAGGCATGTACCACCATACCCAGTTGTGAAGTCAGTTTTATGAATCAGACTTTTAAAATGTACTCTTTACAAATTTGAAGCAAGTCATTCTAGAAACAGTTACCCTTTTTGGGTCATTGCATAGTCTCTTACTAAGTTGGCTGTGTAAGTCCAAACTTCCTAAATAAAGATCCTTTTTGACATCTGATAAAATATGTTGGGGGGAGGAATGTCTTAATTTTTGTTGTATAGTAGTATAGTTTATTTACTGTTTGGTTGGTCTTTTTTTTTTTTTTTTACTTTGGGCCTCCCAAGTAGCTAGGATTATAGGTGTGAGCCACCATTGTCCAACTTGTTTGGTCTTTTACTAATCTCTGTTCATTTTTTTCTTCCCCCTAAGCATCAGCTGATGAGGCTGTTTTCTTAGCAGCGTTTTTTTTTTGTTGTTGTTGTTGTTGTTGTTTTTAAGGTAGGGTCTTGATATGTAGTCCAGGCTGACCTCGAACCCTTGAACTTGGGATCCTCCTACTTCATCTTCCTGAGTAGCTGGGATTGCAGGTGTACAACACTTGCTACCATAGACCCAAGAACTCCTGGAAAAATGTATTTAACCAAGTCTGCCTTCTTTCTGGATACTAACTTGACATCAGCTGGTAACATCACTTTGTGGGTGGCATTTATTTTATTTAAAATAAAACTCGTTCCATTTACTAGCAGCTGTGTTTCAACATCAGAATTCATCTGAGCAGAATGGGAGATGCAGCTGATTTGAGTTCAAGATGACTAATGAGAGCAGCATTGTGCACTTGGTTGTCGCTCTGCTGTCTGTGGAGGGGAGGCATGGACTGAGTAATTAAATCTTTGGTTTGGCTTTGGACTGCCTCATCCTTTGTGGCCAGCCTTAGATTTTGTTTAGGTCATTCCTGAAGGTGAGATTGCTTTCACCTCACCTGTAGTGGTCCAGGAAAAGTAAACCTCACCGATGTGTCCGTGGGTTACCCATGAGCAGACTGTGGGAGCCAGTGCTGGGGTACTTTGGGCACACATGCCGTTGATTGCATGGAGTAGCAAAGAAAGTCTCCACCTGAATGAATGGCTGCTGATTAAGCCTTAGATCAGAATTAGCAGCTTGATGCTTTCATGGAGGGCAAAGGTGCTTTTATAGCCCTCTCTGCATTTTACCGCGGGGCATTCGCCATTGTGTTCTTCACGGCAGTGATTCACCCTCACTGAAAGTGGTTGCTTTTATCAAGTGTTAAGAATGGCAAACAGGGCTGGTGGCCTCAAGTTGTGGAGCTTCAGCTTAGGAAGCGTGAAGCCCTGAGTTCAAGCCCCAGTACCACCCCCCCCCAAGAACTGTTACTGCATTAAAAAGGAAAAAAATGTGTATATATTAAACATTTAGAAAAACCTCTGTCCACCTGCCCAGAGCTTAGCAGTGCCATTTTGGTAGTGACAGTCATTTTTAGCTCTTAGAGGACCCAGGACTTGAGGCTAAAGCATGGTCCCTAGGAGGTGATACCGTTTGCCACCACACAGCTGTGTCATGACCTCACTAGAACTATGCTTCTGGCAGGAGTGTCACTTCCTTCCTTTTCCAGGGATCTACAGAAAATTCAAGAATGAATTTTTAACAAGCTGTCCAAGACATTCTGACAAAGGAGCTCTAAGTTTGAAGAAACATCCTCATGTGGAAAGGGGTTTGGGGGTGGTTGAGGGACAATTCTGGTCACACTGTCAGAAGGGAGAAGGACAGGAAGGGTGAAGACAGGAGATGGGAAGTAAGGGGAGTTCTTAAAAGGAAGTGCATCAGAGACACAGTGTCTGTTCTTGAAGCTTGCCTCAGGCTTGACGTTGGGGTTGTTACATAGGAGGTGGGAGGTGCACGGGATAAAGGTGCAGAGGTTGTGGGTACCCTGAATAAAACTACAGGGCTATTGTGACACATGCAAAGGCCAGCCTGCACTTGGCCCACCCCCTTCTCTGTCGCAGGCTCTGACTTACCACAGTGTCAGCCAGTCTACTCTGGAGCCCAGCAGTGGAAAGTTGTGTGTTTGCTCACCACCTGTTCTTCCCATACCCATGTCACTCTGCTAATTTTCTTGCCCTGCCCTGAATTACTGTGATGTTGAGTGTTTTGTTTAGAGGGTAGATTTGAAGCCTGGAAAAAATCAGACATTTCCCCAAGACAGTGAAAGAAGAGGCTCAGACAGTCAAATGTTCACTCAGGCAGTATGGGGCTGAGGGTGTTGCTCAGTGTAGAGGTTTTGCCTAACATGGGTGAGGCCCTACGTGTGATGCCTAGCACCATCAGAAAAGTCAAATCAGTATTTACTGGGAGCCCTAGTGCCAAGGGACTGTGTTGGCAGAGGAGAACAAGATTGGCGTTCATGTCACCCTCAGCGTCTGCTGTCTGGGAAGGCAAGTTCTTTATAGTTATTTGCACAACTAATTAACTAAAATTGTGATACAGCCCTCAAAAGAAATACATCATGTGCCGTAAGGTTTCTAACAGGTGGCTTGGCCTGGCTTGAGAGGACGGAATTTTAGGAGCAAAAGTTAAAAACGGCTAGTGAATAAAAAGGTGCAGCAGCCCTAGATACAGGTGGAGAAAGATTTGTGCACTACAGAGCCAAAGAGGGGCTTCGTGGGCAAGTGCGTGGCATCAGCGGTGAATGCTGCGGAAATGGGGAGAAGGGGAGGCTGAGATCCGTTTGCTGCATTTGGTGATTAAACCTGTGCTAGAAAAGTTTCAGGTGGTTAAGAATGAGAGTGTGGTGAAATCCTAAGCATGTAGTTGAGCTCATGCACACACTTCGCGGCCTCTTAACATGGGGACCTTGGCAATGTCCTCCTGTGTTTGCCTTGTCTCTTTGATTAGTTGGCAGCTCCACAAAGGCTCTGAGGCCACACCTAGCCCCAGCACTGAGCCACGGAGGCCAGTCGTCACCAACCAGAGATTTAAGACCTCTGATCTGGCACTGGCTCTTCCGCACAAACCCTTGTGCCCTTGCCATGCTGTCTGCTTCCTCTTCTGTAAGATGGTGATAATCCTAATTTCCCTGTCATGGGCTATTGAAAGGAACAAATAGGGTAATGTCCATAAATGGCTCTGTGAGCTGAAAAGCAGCACTCCACAGGAGATGGCGACAGCGCTCAGTAAGTGGGAAATGCTGGAGTGACCAGTGTTGTCTTTGTTGTTTCAGATTTGTCCCTTATATTGGAATTGTGACGATCCTCATGAATGATTATCCTAAATTTAAGGTGAGAGCTTGCGCTGTACGGTTCGCTCAGAGTGAAGGGTGCAGCCTAGCATGCGTGAGGCCCTGGATTCCACCCCCAGCACTGTATCCACCCCAACTCCTAAAAAAGAAGTGACATGATCATGGCTGAAGGCTAGGTGGTGGTAGAGCACGGGGTTCATCCCCCCAAAATTGATCTTTTGCTTAAGTTTGGAAACTGTTAAATAGAATATAGTTAAAGCACGAAAGAATTGCTGGATAGCTCAGTAAATTATGGTCGCAAGGGCCAGTTTATTAATTAACTCTGAGGACTTAGGAACTGTCAAAAGCTTCTCTGACTTGTGCTTGCTTCTGTGTTGTGTTTTCTAGTATGCGGTACTCTTTTTGCTGGGTTTATTCGTGCTGGTCCATCGTGAGTAAGAAGGCTACCTTGCTGTTCCTGGGAAGACGTGTACTTTTTGTTACTTAATGTTTGGAGTAGATTCTGGTCTGCGATGGTGGAATGGAGGACACACGTTGGCGCTTATTGGTAGCACTGGTTTGCATTAGTTTATGTTTCCACACCAGAATCCGTGTGGGCGGGAGCATGTGCACTGCGGAGTGCACTTAAGGGGACTTTGAGTCGCAGGGTTTCATACGTTGTCATTGTCACACTTTCACATTTTTGTACATCAGTGGATTTTTTATATTAAAAGGTTGAGCCAAAGCCCCCAGTGTTTGTATTTTGAAGCCAAGCTTCTCCTCTCAAGTGCCTACAAAGTCCTGTGAGTGACAGCGCCGCTCTTCCGCTCCTCCTTCTGATGGGAGTGGCGCATAGGAAGGTGGTTGGAAGTCTTGACTTTTCAAAATTTTAAATAAAAGACTTTGCACATTGAACCCCTCATCCCTGAATTGTGTTTGTTGGAAAAGCTCCTGAAATTTGCCTGCCTTGGCTGATTCGTAGTACCCCTCGTGGCGGGGGGAAGTGTGGAGGAGTGGTATATAGGCTCTGGAGACAGTCCTCCAGCTAAGAAAGTTGCCCTAATACCGACAACTGTTTTTTGTGTTTGTTTTGTTTTTGTGAAGCAAAAGTAGCCATTGACGTTCATAGGAAGTCTCTTAGTCATAAAATTGATTGTTCACTGGGACGTGACTCAGATGTGTATGAGCCCACTAGTGTTGCTGAGAGGCTCAGAAAGTCTCACTTGGCTGTAAACACTCACGACACAACACGGTACACCTGAGACATCCTCAGCCTGTTTCCCTACCAGGGCGGTGCGTGTCAGCATCTAGAGGAGGCAGGGACCTGGTGCCCAAGGGCAAACTCTCCTGGTCCTTAAACTCTAATTTGCCTGAACCTATTCTTTTGCTTTTCTGTAAGGCAGACAGACTTAAGCAGAGTTTAAAGTAGTGACTACAAAGCCCGCTGTAGTATTTCTGTATTTCTGTGTGAGAAATAGGGAGTGAGGGTAAGCCAATAATGGCGTAAGTGCAGAGGGCTCTGCACTCTGCTTTTTCTCTTTAGCATGACACTCAAAGAAAGCAGGTGTTTGGCGGGGAGGCGGGTGGGGACGACTACACAATCAGGGCCTGTTTGCTCCACTGAGGTGGAAGCCGGTCGGTGCCGTGGCACTGACGGGAAGAACAGAGCCGTCCTCATCCATCAGCGGTCTCTACAGAGCATGAAACTTGCAGATCACTGCTGAAGAAAGGTTCTTGAGCCTGTCTGTGAGGCTTCCCTAGTATCTGTATTTTCTCACCATCCAGGAGAGTGCAGCCCCTGTGTGGTATGGCAGAATGCTGCTGTACTTCTTTTCTTTGCTCCTGGTCACCTCTGCAGGGTAGGGTTGGTTTCCCTGCTCAGTTAACAGTGCGCTGGCTTTTTTTTTTTTTTTTTTTCCCAGTACTGGGGCTTTGAACCTGGGCCTTGTGCACTCTAGGCAGGCACTCTACATTTTGAGAAAAGCCCCCATCCCTGTTGTTTTTGACATAGGGTCTTGCTAACCACTCAGACTGGCCTTGACTCACAATCTTTCAACCTCTGCCTCCCACGGAGCTGGGATTACAGGCATGCCCCACCACACCCAGCCATGGCTGCACTTTTGTACCAGCCTTCCTATGGCTACTCTGGGGGAGACATAGTGTGTTCTGCCAGCCAAAATTGGGGTCTCAGGATCTCTGAGCCTATCTTGTAACCTGAATGTAAACGTCGTTGTCCTTGTGTCTTCAACTCCCTGGTTTCTCTTTCTCTGCACTGATCGGAAGGAAGACCATACTCTCCTCACGTGCATGTTTTCATTCCCACTTTTGGAAAACTATTTTTTCTCTCCTTTGCTAGATGCTCCTGTTGCAAGCAAAGGCTAAATTTCTCTGAAAAAGTAATCAAAGTATTTAAAACATTTCAATCACTTTATTAGCCAAAAATAAAAGAGATTATTTTGGTGGAGAAGTATTACGCCCTCAGCTTTCATATTACCTAGTGCAGCACTAAAACATAAGGCGCAGGGCCTTGTGCTTGCTAGGCAAACACTCAACCACTGAGCTACATCCCCAGCCCAGCCGCCCTGTCTTTAGAAGTGTTTGCAGCCTGACGCTGATGAAATTGTGGATGTGGCCTCAGTGTCCTCTAGTGGACGTCAGCTCCTCTGCTGCAGGGGCTCCATTTTAGAGACACTGTACTAACTTGGTAGCATAAGCCACGTGTATTACTTGTTCAGTGCATCGTAATGCAGGTCAGCATTGAGGTGAGCTGCTGTTCTGGAGCAGAGCATATGAGTCACTAAAGTTACTTGTACTTGGCTGTTGTTTAGTAAGTACATTCCCTTGGTCTTACCACATTCGAATCTGAAGACTTCAGCTCTGTGTGGTTCCGTTTAGGCAGCAGTGTACCTTTCCAGACTTTTTAAATGTTAATCCTTTGTGTTTGCCCTTGGGCTCTTACTGTGTCCTCTCTATTGGGAGCAGTATCAGTGCTTGGCTCTTTATTTAGGGAATCAGTCTTCTCAGAGAGTCTGTGCTCTTGAGAGGTTGTGTGTGTTTCTTAAAATTTGCATAGTGTTTTACCGTGATGTGTTGGGAATGCTACTTCAGCATTTGAGGGCACCCTCCAATGACAGTGTCAGGCTTCTGAGATGATCCAGCTGATTCTAGCTGGTTAGATGGATGGTCTGTCTTCCTCAAGATGCTCTCAGTCTGGGGCTGGCATAGTGGCTCAAGCTTTAGAGCTCTTGCTAGTAAGCATGAGGCCCTGCGTTCAGACCCCAGTACCACCAAAAAAAAAAAAAAGAATTAAACTTTGATTCAGGGAGTCCAAATGGAAGAATTTGTACTCAGGACTTAATAGTAGGCAAGTAAGTAAAACAGCATCAGATACTTTGATCAAAGCCCTCAGCCTCACAACTTAGTTAAGCCCAAAAAGACAGAGTGCTGTATGGAATTCTTTTCTTACACCCGGTCAAGAGTTGAGGTGGATGTGCTAGCATTTTGGTTCATCAAACAACTTAGATATAAGAGGCACACTGCCAGGGCTGGCCTTGTGTCGACTCCATGGTCTGTGCTACCAGCAGGTGACCTCTTCCTCCTGTAATGGACTTCAGACTTTAAGTCTGAACACAGCTACTAATGTTGAGTATTAGAATGTGCAAGGTGGTCTGCTAAGTACTTGAGAATTCATAGCAAATGAAGTTCAATCCCCAGTACCACAAAAAATACCAAAACCCTCTTTTAACTTTCTCTTACTTAATAAACCTCAGGATGGGGGCGTGCTCAAGTGGTAGGGCGACTGCTTAGCACATATGAGGCTGAGTTCCAAACCCAAGAACTGCCAAAAATATATTAAAACATAAACCTCTAAATAGCCTCTGCAACAGAGAAAGCAGGAGAGGTTGAAGAGTTTGCCCGTGCACAGCAGAGGCCTGCTGTTACCACATCCTAACCCTGTCTCTCTACCTTTGTAAAACCTCAACTGCAAAGTCCATAGGAATTCACACACTGTAGGTTTTTCCTCTTAGGACTTGCTCAGATTAAAAAAAAAGAAAATAGATTCCCCACCAGATTGCCCAAGCATTTAGAAAATTTTTACATTGTTTACTTCAGTTACAGAAATGTCCCCTGACATACATGAACTTTACACACAAGTAGTTATGAATGCCACCCGGGGCTTCTTTTTTTTTTTTTTTTTTTTTTTTTAATTTAATTCTAGCAGTACTGGGGGTTGAACTCAAGGCTTTGTGCCTGCTGCTAGGCAGGCTCTCTGCCACTTGAGCCACTCTGCAGGCCCTCACTTTGATTTTTATAGCTTCCCTGAGCACTTGCACTGGTTTGCCGAGCAGCAGCTTCCTAGCTTTCTGAGCTGTGAACCCTGACTTTGTTAGAGGAAGCTTGGCTCAAGTTTAAGCCAACCTGTCAGAGCAGAAGCCAAGGTCATAGGGTTCCCTGCAGGAAAGAAATGAAACTCAAAATGCAGTGTCTTTCCACACCCCTGGAGAAATTAAAACCCAACTTGGTGTTGAAACAGGATGGAAACCCAGGAGTGGAGTGGGTATGGTTTAGGGAGACCCGGATCTGCTGTCACAGCTTTGGGGCCTGAGGCAGTGCCCTAACAGACCTGAAGCCTGACTGCTGTAAAATGGGCAAGTGACTCAGGTGGAGCCTGTCTGCACCAACCATATGAGGGGTGAGAAACTTAACAAGGAGGTTCCTTCAAGCACTCACTGAATACCAATTCCCAATGATTTCCACGTCCATGGACTCGGAGGAGAAAGGATGGAGTGTGATGGGTGCAGAGGAGAGGGAGGAGGTCGAAAAGGGAATTGGTTATTCTGGGAAGTGATAGGAGCTATAGCTGCACACCCCGGCTGAGCTGTGACATGAGAGCAGAGAGGTGTAAATGCTACTGCTAGGGATGAGAAGCAACAGACTGGGGGGGAGCCAGGTCCAGAAGTGGACCGCGCTGTCCTGTGTCATGCTCCCAAAGCTCTACCTGGCAGCGCTTGCCTTCTTGAATGGAGCTCCATAGGCTACGAGACCTCATTCAGCTGGAACTGCACAGAGCAAGGACAGCAGGCACGGGGGAGTAGGCTCCAGTCACAACACTGTCCTGCCTTCCAGGGAGGGTCCAGGGCTTTTTTTTTTTTTGCCTGAGAAGACAAGCTTCTGGGAGCCGGGAATTTCTCTTCCGTCCTGTGCCCCTTGTAGTGCTCAGAGTGTTGGTGTGCAGTAACCCTTAAGCAAAGATAAATGGGTTGTCCAGGAACGCAGTGAGTCCCGCTTATCAAGTGATGCCACCGATCCAAAAGTTCTTTCCAAGTCAGGACGGCTCCTTAGGAGGACGCAGTGCTGGGTGTGAGGGGGCAGGTCCTGTAAGTTGCTGCTACCTGCCACAAAGTCATGTTGCTGAAAATACGTAAAATTGCACGTGTAAGGCGAGGTGGCCGTTTCCATTCTATACTTGAGACCAGTGAGATTCAGCGAGGTCAAACAGCCCTGGGCTTGTCCTGTGCGCCTTCCCAGCTCTGGCCTGCTGCCCTGCGCTGAGCCAGGTCCCCTGCTCCGGTGGCTCCTTGTCTCACCCCTGGGAATAGCGGTGTGTGCCGTCTGAGAGAGGGCAGTGCCTGGCGCTGGGCACAGTAAAGCGCAGTGATGCTCAGAGGGCTGAAGTCGCTACTTGGAAAGCTTTGTGGGAACGGCTTTGCGGTACCCTAGTCCTACAGGGTGGGTTTCGGGTGGAGACCCCTGGGGAGGGGTGGGGGCCTCGGCGGCTGTGGACCGGAATTGGTAGGAGGGTCCGGAGGGCGGGGCGGGGCGCGGCGCCCAGCTCCTCCCATGGCCCTGCCCCCTACAAACCCCGCCCCTGCGCGGGTTTAAAAGGAGGAAGGCGGGTGGCGAGCCCAGCCGTGCGGCACAGCCATGACCCGGCGGGCGGGGGGCGCACGGTTGCTCGGTGGCCTCCTGCTCTTCCTGCTGCTCGCTGCTGGCGTCGCCCCTCTCAGCTGGGATCTCCCCGAACCCCGCAGCCGAACCAGCAAGATTCGAGTGCACCCGCGGGGCAACCTTTGGGCCACCGGTAAGTTGGGGGACCCCAGTAAGCGCCCCTCAACCCTGCTCCTCAGTCCTCTGGCCGCTCCTAGTGACCCAACACGTGGACACTCATCTAACTCAATAGATGGGGAGCTGGAGACCCCAACAGTCAGTGACTGGACTCAACAGGTCTAGGCAGAGCTGGGGCTGCATCCTAGATGTGACCGCCAGGTACCCCTCCCTTAGGCAAGACGGCAAATCTAGCCTCTGCTGTCTTCTTTCTGCAAACCCCTTGCCTGTCCTTTCCTGACCCTCATCAAGCAGACAGCGCCACTGGCAGAGCGCCTACCTACTCCCCGGCTGCGCCCCCCTTCTCCCAGCTGTGTGTCCCCCACCTATTCAGAAGAAGCTGAGGCAGCAAGCTTTGCCTCCACCAGGACGTGTTTGTGGCTCCTTGGTGAGGCGGAAGGTCCCCAGTCTTCCTTTCATGAGAACTGACAGGTGGGAGAGGTGGCGAACTTTCCCACTGGGAAGGGTCCTTGCTTCCTGACTTCCATCTGCCTTGGCACCTCCTTTCCAGGTCACTTTATGGGCAAGAAGAGTCTGGAGCCCCTCAGCCTATCCCCTTTGGGGACAGCGCCCCACACCTCCCTGAGGGACCAGAGACTGCAGCTGAGTCATGATCTGCTCAAGATTCTCCTGCTAAAGAAAGCTCTAGGCATGAGCCTCAGCGACCCAGCACCCAACCCCCAGGTGAGCCAGACCCCCCCACCCCAATGCTAGGAGATTCTGAGCCAGGGCTGCCCTGGAGCCAGTATGAAACAATTACCACCCAGTTGGGTCTAGGGTGTGACTACCCAGCCAGGGCATAATGGATATGGATCCCAGAAAACCAGGGTTCCCGACTGGTCCTGTGTTCCAGGGCTCAAAGAAAGAAAGCTGACCTTCCCATCAGACCCTATAGACGAAGAAGTAGGGAAACACGTTCCCCTCACCGCCATCAAGTCTAAGTCACAAACTGGGATTTTCTTGCCCCTTTCAGGAGAACCTTTCTCACTTAGTCCACACAGCTTTGTCCCACCCTCAGAGATCGGACTGAGTGCTCTTTCCATTCTCTCATCTGCCTCGTAACCAATGACAGGATTCAACTTCAGCACTCCTCACCTCCGGAGGATCATTCTTTGTCATGGGCTTTCCTGTGACTTGTGGAATTATTTAGCAACGTCCCTAGTTTCTCAACCAGACGCACCTTCTGTCTCCTCACCAAGCTGTGATAACCAAAATTGCCTCCAAGCCAGGTGTGGTGGTACACATCTGTAGCCCAGTTACTTGGGAGTCTAAGGTAGGAGAATGGCGGAAGCCCAGGAGTTCAAGGCCAGCCTGGGCAACATAGTGAGACCCTGTCTCTAAGAACAAAATGCCTTTAGATATCACCAAATGTCAAGATGGAAGGGCAGGTGGACCCAGATCACTCCTGGTTGTAAACCCCTGACCTATGGAGTTCAAGGCCTGCTTTAGCTGGAGCCAAGCCAGCCTTATGTGTCTAGCTTGGTTGGGCAGCTCTTCCATTCCCTGCTATCCTTGTTGCACTCCACCCTCTCCTCTGCCCACTGGTGAGCAGAAAGCAGTGTGATGTGGAATGTGGCACAGTGGATCAGGGTCCTGACCAGTTACCTGGGTTACCTTAGCCTCATCTTCTTCATCCATAAAATGGCAAAAACAGGCCCATCTCCCATTAAGTGAGACCATTTATTATTAGTAGTATTTACTTATTTATTTATTTTGGCAGTGCTGGGAATGGAACTCAGTGTCTTGCATCTCTATCACTTAAGCCATGGCCCAAATCTTTTTTTTTTTTTTTTTCTGGCAGTACTGGGGGTTGAACCCAGGGCCTCACAATTGCTAGGCAAGCACTCTACCACTTGAGCTATGCCTCTAGCCTCCTTTTGTCTTTTTAAAACAGGGTCTTCTGTTTTTGCCCAGCTGATCCTCCTACCTCTACTTCCTGAGAGGCTGGGATTACAGGCATTGTTCCATCATCCCTGGCTTGTTTTTGAGATAACTTTACCCAGGCTGGCTTTGAACCTCCATCCACCTATCTCTGCCTCCCGAATAGCTGGGATTATAGGTGTTCACCACTGTCCCTATCTAAAAGAGACCATTTATGTCACATGCTCAGTGGCACTGGGTACAGGAAAGCCCTCAGTAAAGGGAGCTCTTACCATTCTGTGAGCTCTACCACCTGTTACTGACTCACTTTCATATCACTGTGCTTAGTATACAGTGTGTACATGTTGAGGGGCATTCCCTAGAGAAGATTCAACTCCAGTCCCAGTCAACATCTCTGACTTCCTGATGCACAGAACTCCTACCCCCTTAGGACCTCAAATGCACGGGCTGGGAGTTGGACTGGTTGAGTGTAAAGGGAGGGCAGTATCACCTCTGAGGCCATTGATTGTGAAACAGACCAACTAGAGAATCTCAGATGAAGCAGCACCTTCCCGTGGGAAGAGGGGATGGCTGCAGAGTGAGGACTGGGTCCGAGCTTGGGGCAGGGGAGTGACACACTTATCTAGTGCCTGGCCTTACCTGTACTTGACTTCTGTGATGTCCTTTTATTGTCAAGACTACCCTGGGGAATCAGGGCTGTATTCTGAGAAAACTACTGCTCCAACACCTCCCGGGCATTTCAGGGACAAAGGTGATCAGCTAGGGGCCTGCCCCTGCCCACCCTGTGGACACCCATCCTTAGGAGTGGTGGCATGCCCCTATCACATGCCCCTCCCCAGTCAATTCTATTGTATTGTCCTTCAGGGCAGGAGGCTGCTTGTGCAGATACTGCAGAAGTGATGTCAGTAACGGGACAAACACGACAACGCGCTTAGGTGGTGCTCACCAGAGAAGTTGCTGAATGGAACCCTAGTAGTGGCCCCATCTGAATGGAACTCCTGAGCTCCATTGCTGTGATTTCTTTCCGGTTGGGTCTCGGGAATACTGCGGATGCAGAAACAAATAATGTTCCTACTTCTTCGCAGTGTGAATAAAACCCTGCTCTTTACATAGTGTCTGGGCCTCTCCTTCCAGCCGCGTCCAGGGGAGGGAGAGGGCGCTGGAGGGCCGGGAGGATGTTCGCCTAGGCACCAGCCTGGGCCTCTTACTCCTCCGCCTGCTGCGTGCCAGGCGCGGCTCCTGCTGTCCGCTGCCACCCGCTCTCTCAGGCCAGTGCCTGTCTCCTGGCGGGAGAGCCGGGCACGCGGGCATGGACACCGCGCATGCAGACCCTGGACGCCAGTAGGGTTGCCAGTTAGCAAGTGGAAATAAAGGCCGCCCGGTTAGATTCGAAGTCCAGACAAGCAACATTGCTTTCGTAGGAGCGGTCCTAAAACTTGCATGGATACATTCATACAAAGTTTTGTTCATCGCTTGTCTGAAATTCCAAGCTAGCCGGCTGGTTCCGTAGTGCAGCTGGCTTTGGGGCACCGACACCCTTCTCCGGGCTGCAAACCCCTGGTCCTAAAACAGGAGGGTATTTGGTCGCTCCGGGGAGTCCCTGACTTGACGTCACTTTTCCGGGAGAACCCGGGACACAACCCCACCAGCGCGCAGAGCAGCGGGGCGCTGAGCCCGCGGCCACCACTAGGTTCCGCCCTCTGGGGCCACGCCCACTTCCCGCGAGAAGACCGCACCTGCGCCGGGAGACTCGGGGGGCGGAAGTTAAGTACCGGAAGTGACGGTTACTATGGATCCCGCGGAGGACTGGCTGGTGGAATCCCTGCGCTTGTAAATGGGATTAGGACGGGATATGAGGGGGAGATGACGGGGGTGGGGGCGCGGAGCATGCGGGGACCCCGAGCCTCGGCCTTCTCTCGAGGGGTGTTCGACGCCCGTGCGCACGTCTTGTGATTAGAGCCCCGCTAGTGGAAGGTGAGCGCACGAGTGACCAGTTACTTGGCGCCAGCCCCACGTTCAGGCGGGACACAGCTTCTCTCGTTGAGTTCTCACTGCAGTTTTGAGGGGCAATCAGCTTGGGGCAGCCTGCCAGCTCCGCAGATGAGAACCAGGGCTCAGGGACCCGTGACTGGCCAGGTCCCAGACACCCAGGGCCTAAAATGCGAAACTAGACTCGGTCCCAAGCCTGCCCGGCTCTAACCATCGGGCCACCGCTGCCATCTCAGTCCTTTGTCGGCTATACGGCGCCGTGCACCGTGTGAGTTTTGTGTCCCTATCGTTCAGGTACCAGGATTTCCATGCCTTTGACCTCGCAGGAGCCACTCGTGTCCTTGAATGGGTTGGTGACAAAGGTAATGCTTGGCCCTAAAGGAAATGAGAACCCACTCCTCAGGCTGGGACCCATGCCGCTCTTTTGGAAGCCTCATCAGCACTTACATTCCTCTTATCCCTTGATACAGGGCTGCGCACCGATGGGGAAGGAATTTATCCTTGCTTTGGGGAATTTGGCAGGAGTTTCTAGATCTAGCCATGGTCCACAGTCTTTCTAACAGTTTGTCACAGCTACTTCTTTTCTTCAGGAGTCTTTGTTGCTGGCTATGAAAGCCTGAAAAAGAATGAAATTCTTCATCTGATACTACCTCTCAGACTTTCCGTAAAGGAAAACCAGGTAACTTGAAATACACATGCGGGGTATAGGTGTCGACTTTTATTTGTTTATTAAACATTTACAGAGCTCCTGTTACCTACCAGGTATTGTCCTAGAAGGAGAGAGACAAGTCTTGAGTCTGTCCTTATAGTCTAATAGAGAGAGGCAAATATGCATAGACGTTATTGCAGTAGAATGTCACAAGGGGCTTACAAGGGGTCTGCTACAGGAAGAGGTAAATTTTACATTATGAAAAATAAATTTAGTCCAGACCCCAGTGGCTCATACCTGTAATACTAGCTATTCAGTAGGTAGAGATCAGGAGGATTGTGGTTCGAAACCAGCCTGGGCAAACAGTTCCCAAGATCCTATCTGAAGAGTAACCAACACAAACAAGGACTGGCAGAGTGACTCAAGTGGTAGAGCACCTGCCTAGCTGTTGTGAGGCCCTAAGTTCAAACCCTAGTACCTTCTCCCCCATCCCTGGAAAAAAAAAAAAAAATTTAGGGAGGCACAAGAGAGAGAGGGTGGCTGAAGCCATTGGAAGTGTTAAGAGCTCCGAGGCTGGATGTGTTGTGTATAAGGATTAAGAGGAGATAGCTAAGGACAGAACTTCAGAGAACACATTTAAGGGGTGGGTAACGGAAGATGATCCCAGGAGAAAGTCTTTGAAAGACAAGTCTTTGAAGTAAGAGAGGTTTAAGAAAAGATAAGAAGAGGGTTGGTAGAATGGCTCAAGTGGTAGAGCACCTGCCTAGCGTCCATCCCCCTGGGCAGTGGAGACCTTGTGTGCAAGCAGCATCTCATGAGGCAGGCCCTGCAGAGAACCGTTTGTCAGCAGCACAGTGGCTTCATGGCCTCCTGCCAAGCCACGTTCTGCCTCTTCCCTTGAGTTCCTCTGGTATGTTCCTTTGAAGAGTCAGCTCTATCTGATTGGCCACTTCTTTGTATTTTAGGGCTTATTCCCGGAAAGAGATTTTAAAGTGCGCCATGGGGGATTCTCAGACAGATCTGTCTTTGATCTAAAACATGTGCCAGATACCAGGTATGGACAGCTCTGGGCCCAGACCTTCCATTCAGGCTGGGATGGCTGGAAATGACCAACCAGTGGTGTCCTGTCCCAGTACTGCCACCCCACCCCGAGCACGTGGACATGTGTGGATGTGCACTTACGTGTGCGCACGAACTTAGTTTGTGTACAGAGAAACCAGTGGCCTTGTGTGTTTTGAGTCACTGGGGTTGGTCCAGGGGCTAAATGCAGGAGAGGACTCTTCCTTTCCCAGTGAGCTGATGGTACACTGTGGTCAGGAGAGCTTTCTCTGGGCCAGGGTTCTGTGTTCTGATCTGTCCTCCCTGCCTGGTCTCCATCCTGTAGTGTGGTTTCCTTGGAAGAATCCCAACCTGATTGGGCTGGAGGAGGGGACTGGTGGGGTGTGTGGGCAAGCTCCCTGCTGTCTACACCAAGATTTTGTGTCTATCCGGAACAGGTTGCTAGTGACCAGTGGACTTCCAGGGTGCTACCTGCAGGTGTGGCAGATCGCAGAAGACAGTGGTGAGTAGATTTCACTTGGTGTTTTTTTGCATTACTGGAGTTTGAACTCAGGCCTTTGCACTTGCTAGGCAGGTGCTCTACCACATCAGACACATCCCCAGCCAGTTTTGCTGTAGATATTTTTCAAATAAGGTCTCACACTTTTGCATGTGGCCAGCCTTAGATGTCAGTCCTCCTGCCTCCACCTACCACATAGGAGGGATTGCAGCATGCACCACCATGTCTGGCTTGTTAGTTGGGATAAGATCTTGCCAACTTTTGACCTCCATGGCCTCAAACCTCAATCTCCCAACCCAGCTTCCCTCGAAGCTGGGGTTATAGGCATTGTGCTAGTCCTGGGGTATATAAGAAATTTTTTGTTTGTTTGTTTGAGACAGGTCCTTCTGCCTCAGCCTCCCAGCTGCTGAGATTACAGGTGTACCCCACTATACCCTGTGAAGTGTATCACTATAAGTCAGTTTTAGAACATTTTATCACTGCCGTGAGTCCATGCCCATTTGCACACCCTGCCCTCGGCTACCTCGTCCACTTTCTCTATAATAGATTTACCTTTGCTGGACAACAACTGCAGGTGGACTGATGTATACACTCTCTTGTGTCTGGCTTCTTTCTCTTAGCATAGTGCTTTTTTTTTTTTTTTGGCAGTACTGGGGTTTAAACTCAGGGACTCATGCTTCCTAGGCCGGTGCTCTACCACTTGAGCCACTCCACCAGGCCTGTTTTGTGTTAGTTATTTTCAAGATAGGTGTCTCGAACTGTTTGGCCAGGTTGGCTTTGAACCGTGATCCTCCTGATCTCTGCCTTCTGAGTAGCCAGGATTACAGGCATAGCCACCAGTGCCTGGCTAGCATAATGCTTTTGAAGTCCATGCATCGTAGCATGTGTCAGTAATGTGCCCCTCTTTATGACACACGCTTAGAGTCCCACTGGACAGATGTACCATTCACCAGGTGATGGTCCAGTTTTTTGGTATTTTTTTGTTTTCTTTGTAGCACTGGGTTTTGAACTCAGGGCCTCACGCCTGACACTTTTACTGCCAGAGTCACTCTGCCAGCCCAAAAATCACTTTATTATAATTACTTTTTTGCAGCACTGGGGTTTAAACTCGGCCTTACACTTGCTAGGCAGGTGTTCTTACTGCTTGAGCCACTCCACCAGCCCTGATGGTCCCTGTTTTTACTATCATGAACAGTGCTACTCAGCACATGAGTATATGTCCTTGTGTGAACACGTGTTTCCATTTCTTCTGGGTAGACAGCGAAGAACGGGGTTGCTGGGTCATATGGTAAATTTATGTTTGATTTTTTTTTTAAGGAAACTGAAAATTTTCCAACATGGCTTCATTTACGTTCCCATCAGCAATGGATGAGGATTCCTGTTTTTCCCTTCCTCGCTAGCATTTATTATTGTGTGTGTGTGCGTGCATGTGGGTGTGGATTGAACCCAGGGCCTCATGCGTGCTAGGCGGGTGTCACCCCCAGTCCTGCCTTTTTTATGCAAGCCATTCTAGTGGATGTGGTGATGTATGTCATTGTGGTTTTCATTTGTGTTTTACAAATGACTAATTACGTGGGCATCTTTCTTGTGTTCATTGGCCATTTGTATGTTTGGTGAAGTGCCTCATAAGACCTAGCACCTATGTTTTTAATTGGGTTATTGGTCTTTAATGAGTTGTAAATGTTCTTTGTATATACTGGATACAAGTTCTTCACTAGATATGGTTTATTAATGTTTTCTCTCGGTTTGTTGCTTGTTCTTTCATCTTCTTAGTGATGTCCTTTGAAGCATAAAACTTTTAAATTTTGACCAAGTCCAGTTTGTCCAGTTTTTCTCTTAGAGACTGAGCTTTTGGTATTCTGTCCGAGAAACCTTTACCTAACTCAGGTGTTTTCCTTCCAGAAGTTTTTTACAGCTGCAACACTTGAGTGTATGATCCATTTGAGTGAATTTTTGTGTGTGACGTGGGATAAGGGTCTGAATTAGACTTTTTTGCATGTGGATGTTTACTTGTCTAAACTCCTCCTTTCTCTGTTGATTTGCCTGGGCACCTGTGCTGAAAATAAGGGTTTAACTCTGGGCCCGGTCTGTCCCATGTGTCGATCTGTCTATCCTTATGCTAGTAGCTTACAGTTGTTTTTATCTTTTCCCCAAAATAAGCTGGGTGGGGCAGCAAGGGCTGAAAGATGAGAGAGAAAGGAGTCTTGGTGGCCGTGTGGAGGCAAGGCAGGTGCTCTTGTGCTGATGGTGCAGGGGACCAGGCGTGACATAGATCCCGTAGCTGCAGGCCTGTGGGAGTTAATAGGCCAAGAGGGCTTGCTGTGACACCCACAGGAGTGTCGAGTCAGATAAAGTCGTCTTCTCCAGATACTAATGCAGCATATTTCAGAGTTTAGGAAAGACCTGCCAACTATTTTTCTAGAAGCCTAAGAGGGCAATGCTTTCTTGGTGAATTTTCTAAGGCCCAGGAATCTACACATAGCCCTGGTGTCTCAGAAACCTGATTCTGTGAATATATCCAGCCCAAATCTAATCTGTTCACAGGAACAGAGTGTTCACTAGACTCACAGGCTGTGTAGGTACTAGAATTCGGTTTTATTACTTTATAATGAAAAAATAAGTACCATGAAAAGTGGAATGTTCCAGGTCCTTATAACTAGCTTATTCTTTGCTTATAACAGCTCTGGCCCGTGGTAGGTAGCTCAGTGGTAAAGGTAGCCCAGTGGTAAAGCCCTGGGTTTGATCCTCAGCACCCGTCTCCCTCTTCCCCCCACCCCAAAAATGCTGTGGCCCAAACAAAACCTGACTGAAGAATGTGCTGAGAAGGAGGACTCCCTCAGAGGTCTGCCAACTCCTGCTGCCCTGGCTCTCCGTGCTGTCCACACTGCTGGGGCTGGAAGCCAGAGTTGGATGGCTACAGTATCTAAGGGTCCTGGCTGCTGCCACTTGGAACTTAAATATTCCAACTGTAGATGTAGCCCTGCTCACAGCCCAGCATTTTCTTTGCCTCTGTGGGGCTGAGTAGCTTCTGCTCCTGGCACCACTATCAATAGGCCTGTCACCACATTCGCTCAGGGCTGCAGGTTCTGACTCTTGAAAGTGTCTCTGCTCGATGCCTTCTGTGCTGGCTTCATTTCAGAGACAGTGCTTTGTCTACTTTCAAGACCTTGCAGGTCCTTTGCTGTGGCTTTTGCCTTGACTTTGTACCACTTTGCCTTTTCATTGGGGGCCTGGCTTGGTGAATTTGGTGTGAATTTTCTGGGCAGAGAGGAAACTTGATTTTTCTTTATTTTTTTATTTTATTTTATTTTATTTATTTTTTTGGCAGTGCTTGGGATGGAACCCAGGGCCCGCTGTGTGCCAAGCAAGACTGTACCACTGAGCCACACCCCAGCCTCTACTGAACTTTTGAAAAAGATCTTTTCCTTCCTCCCTACAGACAGATCACATCTGAGAACCCTGCTGGCTCATAGTGGCAGATCTGGGAGAATCCAGACTCCTCTGAGGCTGTGGAAGGGAAGGAGGGGCGGCTGAAGTGTGGCCCAGGAGAGTCAGGCAGCCTCCTCAGTGTTCCCTAGAGACAAGGGGTGACCCTGGCACTCGCCTTTTGACTGCCCAAAACCCTGCAGCACCCGTGGAGGGAGGAATTAGGCTCAGGAATTCTGGATTACGTGCATTTAGAGCCCTGGGCACTGGGAGAGTGCTTGGCGTCCTCTGGCCTGAACTGTGGGGGGTCTTGAGGACTTCGCTGCCCCTGGCCTGCTGAGCAATCTGTGGCCTCCCATCTACTGTCCGTCATCGTCTTGACAGGTCCTGTCCTCAGAATCCAAGCAGGCTGCAGCAGAATCAAACCAGCCTGATTTGACTTGAGGCCATTTTGTGTAAAACATGGCCCTTCTTGTTTGCAATTTACATTGATGTTGGCCTCCGTTCGCCAGGTGTTAGCAGCTCGCTTGAGGTCGTGGACATGTCTCTGAAGAAATCATAGCTCACAAGCCCTGTACCTGTCACTTTTCACGAAGGTGGATGACATCGGCAGTGTTCATTCCCTTCCTCTTCCTGTTCTCTACTGACAAGAAAACGCCAGCCCTGGTTGTGGAGGACTAAGATGGCAGCAGCCATCCCCTCCCATTTGCAAAAACAGTTCTTGAGACAAGTTGTCAAGAAACCAAAGTGATTCTGGCAGTTTCAAATCTGCAGATACGACCTCAACCTCGTCTTGCCACCTGTCGGTCGGCTCCCTTCCCTCTGTGACCGTCTACATTTCCAGGTCCTTACCACAGATGGCTTCAAGCTCTTGTCATCAAGTCTGCACTTCAGCCGAATGTTTTCTCCTTTTCCCCAGATGTCCTCAAAGCCGTCAGCACCATTGCTGTGGATGAGGATGGGTGTCTCTGGCCCAGGGTAGCCATCTTTCCCTCCACGGCCCCCGGAGTCCTTCACGGTGTGCGGCTCAGTGACCTGAAGATTGCAGACCTAGAATCCCAGAAGATCACGTACTGCTCAGGTACTGCCCAGCCTAGCTCAGTTCAGGCTTCTGTGCCAGACACCGGAGGGACATGGGGCACAGAGACAAGCCCGGGCCTCAGATGTCTTCCATCACGGGATGGGTGGGGAGAGGCAGCCCAGGAACCAGTGCCACCCAGGTGGCCAACGATGGTGATGAGTGGAGGGGAGACATGAGTCATCCTGGGATTGCTGGAGCCAGCCAACCCTGCCAAGAGCTGGGCCTGTCTGCCTCCAGCAGTTTTTTCTTTGCCCTGGGCCTTCCAGGTGTCAGTGACAGGGAGGAGCTGAGTAGCCTGCAGGTCCTGGATGCAGACACCTTTGCTTTCTGCTGCACCTCTGGCCGGCTGGGCCTCGTTGATACCCGCCAGAAGTGGGCATCCGTGGAGAATCTCAGCCCCAGCCCTGGGTCTGCTGGAGGGAGATGGTGTGCAGAAGTTAAGGACAGGGGCCAAGGTACTGGACCCTGCATCGCCAGCCTTGGCTCAGATGGGCAGCTCCGTCTTCTTGACCCCCGGAATCTCTGTCATCCCGTGAGCTCAGTCCAGTGCCTGGTGCCAACACCCAGCCCCAACCCAGAGCTGCTGCATGTGACCTGGGCCCCAGGCCTGGACAACTGCTTGGCCATTTCAGGTACTGCTGAGCAGGGCTATGGATCTGCTGTTCCTTCTCTCTCCAGAGAAGGATGGAGTGCTAGGGAGGAGCCCACAACCCACAGTAAATTTAGCTCCAGGCCAGGCGCTGGTGGCTCACGCCTGTAATCCTAGCTACTCAGGAGACAGAGATCAGGAGGATCACTGTTTCCAAGCAAGTCAGGGCAAATAGTTCACCAAATCCTATCTTGAAAAACCCAACACAGAATAGGACTGGCAGAGTGGCTCAAGTGGTAGGGTGCTTGCCTAGCAAGTTCAAACCTCAATGCCACCAAAAAAAAAAAAAAAATCTGGCACCTGGCCATACCCGTCCACACGTTGGTGGCAGCCTCTTCAGTCTCAGGGGTGCAGGTCTCAGGTTGGTGGAGAGCCCTGCAGATGTGGGACAGCTGTGAGGCTGCACTGGAAGAGGTGACAGGTCTCAGGGACACTTCTCAGCCTGCTCGAGTTTGAGATGTAGCAAGCCAGCTAGCGCCCAGGCCCGTGGGCTGGTGCAGTCCAGTTGCGTAGGAATATTACCTAGAGCGTCCGCAAGCCAGCGGGCAGGATCTGCCGAGACTAGGGGCAGGAGTCTAAAGAGTAACTGAGCGTCAGGGAAGGAAGTGGGGGAACCCAGAAAGAGCAGAGAAGTCCCCCATGGCGGTGCAGGACTGGAAGACAGCAGGGTGGGGTGAGAGGTGTGGCTCCCGTGGTCAGGGGCAGGCGGACTTTGTTCCAAAGGCTCTTGCTTCTCCCATCAAGGAGGAAACAGGGCCATCTGCTGAGAGGGCCGCAGAGGTGGAAGGACTAGAATTTGGGGCAAGTTGAGGTTTGGGAAGGTCTTTGAAGCTTCCCTTTCCCCTGGGAAGATGATCGTGCCTGCTTCACCTGCTTGTAAGGGTTAAGAAGCCCGTGTCTTAGACGAGCCTGGGCCTGACACGTAATAGGTGGACCACAGGTGCTCATGGCGACTACCCAGGGACTCCCCAGGGCCTCCTTGGGCAGATGGTACACTCCCTTTGTTGGCCCGTCTTGTGACTGAAGAAGTCGTCCTCAGCCTGTTGGGTCCACAGAGCAAATCAGCAATAGTTCTAGGGATTTCACATCAGTCTCTCTTCTCTGTCCTTCCTCAGGTTTTGATGGCACAGTCCAGGTCTATGATGTCACGTCTTGGGATGGAAAGGGGAGCCAAGCAGAGCCTCTGTTCACTCACAGAGGCCACATCTTCCTAGATGGAAATGAGATGGACACTGCTCCTCTGGTCACCACCCATACCTGGCACCCCTGCAAACCCAGGACTTTGTTATCAGCAGCAAGCGATGCCTCTGTCCATGTGTGGGACTGGGTGGACCTCCGTGCCACCTGCTGACACCAGCACCCTCCACCCTGGCCTCTGGAGGAACAGCTGCTCGAGTGGAGAGGACACTGATGCAAGACTTAGAGACCCTAGTCGGTGCTCCCAGTGTGTGGCCTCAGGCAAGTCAGCAGCCTTTCTTGGCCCCAGTTTTATCTTTTTTTTTTTTTTGTTTAATTTGTTTGTTTGAGATGGTCTCCAGAGCCTCCTGCCTCAGCTTCCCATGTGCTGGGATTATAGGCGGGTACACCACACCTGACTGACCTCTATTTTCTTTTCTTTTTTTGGTGGGTCTGGAGTTTGAATGCAAGGCTACACACTTGTAAAGCAGGTGTTCTACTGCTTGAGCCAGACCACCAGTCCATTTTGCCCTGATTATTTTGGAAATGAGGTCTTGTGAACTGTTTGCCTGGGTTGGCCTATGGCACAGTAAACTATTTGGTGGCTGCTATTCGATCTGGGAGCACCGCCTCCTCCAAGTGTAAAGTGGTAGCATTCTGTCCCTGTCCTTGTCACGGTATTGTAGTGAGACTCAGAAGAGCTCATGAATGCAAATGTGTTGTGTGGACCTCTTTATAGAAAAAAATGTGTAAGAGCCAATTAACACGAAAGGGAGTCAGCCCAGTGACAAGGAGCATTTAAGGCAGGATTGTGACATCTTTGCCAATCAAAGTGCCTGGTGTTAAAAGGTTTTCCCTTTGAACAGCTGACAGGAGCCATGATGCTTAGGGCAGAGGAAGGAGAGGAGTGTCAGGTTCCTTGTCCCGGCTGGCACCACACCTGGTCCAGCTGAGCCACAGGGAATATGCGCAGCCTACTATATGGCAGTTACATTTTCCTAGTCTTGCCCTATTACAGATAGCCTGCTGAACACCTTGGCACCATGAGCAGTGTTTGAGGATAAATTTCCAAAACCCAGCTCACTGGGGCAGAGGATATATGGCTTTTAGGTTTGTAAACACTGCCAAGGGGCCTTCCGTACAGGTTGTGCCATTTTCTGTTTCCACCAACAGCGATGTTCTGCCTCTGTCCCTGTCCACGCTAACAAAGTGTTCAGTGGCCCTGTGGCCCTTGCCAGTCTAATAAATGGAAGCTCAGTGCCTGTAGCTTTAGTTTGTATTTCTTTTATAGGTGAGGCTAGGGCTCTTCATGTACATAAAACTTAGGGCAATTTTTTTTGGTGGTACTGGGGTTTGAACTCAGAGCCTCACACTTGGTAGGCTGGCAATCCACTTGAGTCACTCTGTCAGCCCTTTTTGTATTGGGTATTTTGAGATAGAATATCACAAGCTGTTTGCCTGTGCTGGCCTCCAACCACGATCCTCCCGATCTCTGCCTTCCAGGTGGCTACAGTGGCTAGTGTAACAGAGCCACAAGTAGCTGACTGGGGCAAATATTTCTAAAGGGATACTAGCCAGGGTGGGAAAACAGGTGCTGTGACCCAGCAGCACTGCAGCCGAGACAGATGTCCTCACACAGGCCGCACTTGGCACTGCTTGCTGCTTCCTACGCCTGCGGGGAGCGGGGGAGCCGGGGAGCAGACAAGGGAGGGACGTCTCCCCGTTAGGTAACTTCTCACTGTAGCTCTAAAGGATTTAAGGAATTTGGTGTATGAAATTTACTTGATTACTGGTCACCAGTGCTTTGATTTGGGATAATTTCATTTTATTTTATTTCGTGGTGCTGGGGATGGAACCCAGCGTTTCACACACCCTACACGAGTGCCATACTGCCGTACCACTGGGCTACACCCTGTCCCTGATTGGTTTTGAAACAGCACTGCTGAGACGCAGTTCACATGCTGTATCACTTACAGGGCACAGTGCTATGGCTTTGCAGATAGTGACGGCGGGGTGTTGGTTCCCCACGCTTCTAGCCCTAGTTACTCAGGAGGCAGACTAGAGGAGGACTGACGTTCAAGGCCAGGCCAAACAGTTCCAGAGACCCCATCTCAAAAAAAGGCTAGAGGATGGCTTGTGTGGTAGAGTGCCTGCCTAGCAAGCGTAAGGCCCTGAGTTCAAATCCCATACTGCCCCCCCAAAAAAGATATATATACATATATAACAAAGTATTCGCTATTTTAACCACTTTTCTCCATCGTAACCTTTTTCAGTGCACCGTTCACTGGCATTGATTACCTTCACAGCGCGGTACAACCGTCACCCCAAACAGAGTCTAAGCCCGTGGGCCTGGTGTGCTGATGTCAGCTGGTTTCTTACATGTGGTTTATTCCCAGCTCTTGGTCTCGTTAGAAGGCCAGCAGCCCGATGAGTAAGGGGTCTGTCCTGTGACCTCATCTCACCTTAATCTCCAACACAGTCACTTTGGGGATTGGAGTTTCAACATGGATCTGGGGAAGGGGTGTACAGTTCACTCCACTTGGGAAATGGGGTCCCACTATGTTGCCCAGGCTGTTGTCGAACTTGTGAGCTCAAATGATCCTTCCTGTCCCACCCCCTCTTGCTTCCTGAGTAGCTGGGACTACATGCATGCTTGACCGTGCCCAGCTCAGAAATGAATTTTTTTATTACTTAATTTAACAGTGAAGTTCATAGAATGTTAGATTTTGGAGACATTTAGAGTTTTCAATTTGAAGATGTGCTCATTCTGTTTTCTCAGTAATTTCCGCCTCCTGAGAGCTCATTCTGTAGCTCTCCCCAACTCTATTCAGTGACATCCCATTGCTAGCTTGAAATTGGCCATGGTAGGAATAATTACAGCTCAGAAGGTGGCAAGTGTCACAAGGCAGAGCTCTGTTCTGCTCCTGAGACCTGGCTCGACAGCAACGCCGCTGCCTGAGCTGTAATATTACAAGTTAAAGCAGAAGTGAGTCATTCAGAAAGTAGAATAGATGCGTGAATGTAAAAGCTGCTTTGCTTTGCTGAAAAATGCTGTCAAAATGTGTCAGTCGTGGTCTACCCAGGAAGACTGAACCACACCTGGTAATTTCACCCAGGGAGTTTAACGATGAGCTACTGGAAGAGGAAGTGAGGCAAGGTGAGGCAGCAGTGATGAGCAAATGCAGAGGTCACTGCCGTACAGGGACAAAGGAGTCAGAGGTGGCCCCTGTGGGAGCTGGGGTATCCCAAAAGTGCCAGGTCCACAAAGAGCCGATGACTGCGGGAAGTACAAACAGGAGACATCTGGACTTCAGACAAAACAGCAGGGGACGGACTGAAGACAATAGAGGAATGACAGGTACCACATTCTAACCTCAACAGTTCGGAAAAGGAAAAATGTGAATAAACAAAGAACAGGCCGGGGCCACTGCGCACACCTATAATCCAAAAATTGGGAGACAAGCAGGAGGGTCACGAGCTACAGCACAGCCTGGGCTACCTACAAGATGGCGTCTTAACAAAAAGGAAAAAAGGTTGTGAGATTAGTTTGCACAATTATATGCTAATTTGGAAATTTATTATAAAATTATTGTATGTCGAAAATCTGAACCATCCAGTACTTGAAAGTGGAACTCATCCAAGGAATAATGAAAAGCTGGCAATGCAGCTCCGTGGCAAAGGGCACACCCAGCACCATCAATAAAAAAGTATTCAGGGTGAGACTGTTGTGAAAAATTTGGGGGGGACAAGGTCGCACTATGGCAGCCAAGGCTGGTCTCCATCCTCCTTAGCCTCCCAAGTACTGGGATTACAGGCATATACGACCACACCCAGCTTCAAACTTCTAAAGAGTAACAAATTCCCGTGTTTACAGAGATTTATTTTTCTTTAAATCTGGAAAGCTAACCAACTCATTTTATGAAGGTGCTATAATCAGAATACCAGAAGGTGGTCAAGAAAGTGTGGTGCTCCCCGCCACCTCATTCAAGCTCAGTCACAGATGGTAGGTGGTAGCCCTCAACCCTATCAGCCCCATTCTTCCTTCCATAGCCAGTATTTTGCACACCCCTTACTATCCTGAGATAAAACTTTGTGAGGAATATTGATTGCAAAATATTCACTGGAAAGTACAAGGGGCTAAAACAAGCGTGTGTTTCTCTAAGTAAAGTCCATCCTATACAGATGTCATAGCAAGAGCAGGAAAGGAACCCAGGCACAGCTGGTGACATGCTTGTCTAGCAAGCTCACGGCCTGGTTCCAGCCTCAGCCCTGCAAAACCCTGGGAATGCCCCGTGCACGCCCACAGGTGCTGCATGAGTGACTCCCACCTGGGGTCCGTGCATGGCTCTTCAGGCTGGTAACTGTGAGCCTCTGAACAAGACAATATACTGTTTTCTGGCATTTTTGAAAGTCATGTGTCCGGAAATTGTAGGTATGTAAAACTATGCAAAGCTTTTCTTGGGTGTATGTAGAAAAGTAGATCTATGTGACAAAATGGGTTTTCCCTACACCAGTGGTTCCTCAGGTTGCTGTGCATCACAGATCACCTGGAAGGCCTGCGGGTTTTTTGAGACAGGGTCTCAGTAGGTAGCGCAGGCTGCTTGAGCCTTTCAACTGCTGGGATTATAGGTATGTGCACTGAAGCCTGGCATAGACTATTTGAAACACAGACTGCTGGGCTCCTCTCATGGACGTTCTGAAGAGGTTGGTGTCAGGATTCAGTGAGAGGAGCAGAACCTCCAGAGAACAGTTCACACACGCACACACTGTGAAATTTGGTGCGAGAGCTGGCCACACGGTCTTAGGGACAACACTGGCTGCTGCTTCCCATCTGAGGCTGAGCTCAAGGCAGGGTTGACAGCTGGGAAGGGCCATGGCAGTACAGTGGGGAGAGCAGGGGTCAGCTGTGTCCAGTTGTGCCCCTTCATCAGGGAGCAGTGCTGCTCTGGCCGGGGAGTTGGAGAAACTGAAGGAGCTTCACGGGCAGGCGGAGCATCAGCAGCCTCTGCCTGTAAATGGACCCAGAAGTGACTTCTCAGGACTGGTTCTGCCAGCCAAGTCACCACCTTCTAAGGCCACCGCAGCGTTGGAGAGGAGCCCACAAATTTGCACATTGAATCAATCCCAGGTGGAGATGCACCTGCTGGTGGTCTGTGGTCATCCTGAGAGTCACTGTCCCCCCATAAGCAGGACATCTCTATGCAGAGCCATCTCCAAACTGCACTAACTGCCCCCAACTTTCTGACAAACTCCACACCCCCCTCCCCAATGTCTAAAATCTACACATTCCACAAGAAGCTCCCGGGGTTCTCAGCAGTTCTGGGAGGGTGCACCAGAGCACCTGACAGGAACCAAGGATGACCAGCCACTCACATGGCCACCAGCACACGATCCAGGCCAGCTGAGCGGAGACTGCTGTGCTGACCCCCCAAAACTCCAGGTGATGTCACAGAAGATTCAGCAGCATCCTTGAGGAGGCAAGAGGGGTACCTGCAGGGGTGGAAAAGGAGGGTGACCCAGTGGGGACAGATCTTCACAAGGATGTTCTAGAACAGAACGTGGAGGTAAAGACAGCTACCACCAGGGAAGGGCCCTGGGAGTGACGGATTTTTTTTTTTTTTTGGTGCTGGTGGTACAGGAGTTTGAACTCAAGGCCTTGTGCTTGCTTAGGCAGGCACTCTACCACTTGAGTGACACCACTAGCCCAAGAGATATCCTTAAAGGCCAAACCTCTAGGGGCTCACCCAAATCCCTTCTTGGCACTGCCTCCCCTTCACACAGCCTTCTAAGGAGACAGGTTAGGGCTGGGGACATGGCTCAAGTATAGAGCACCTATCTAGCAAGCGCAAGCCCCTGAGTTCAAAACCCCAGTATCGCCAAAAAAAAAAGGAAGACAGGTTAGCCAGCTCACCTGACCACAGCTGGTTGGACCAGGGACACCATCCATTCACTGGGATGTGGGGTTAAGAGTTGGAGTCAGTGACAGGGCCTCAGCACCATGTGTAAGGCTGGGTTCCTGGGCAGCGGGAACAGGTCTGTGGAAGGAGCCAGGCCACCAAGATTGAAGAGAAAAGCAGAGGCAAGGAGGAGAGTAGCAGCAGAGACAGGCACAGAGAGTGGCTCAGTAAAGGTGGGAGAATGAAAAACAAGCAGCCCCCAGAGGGCTCTGCACTGGTTGTGAGGTCAGGGAGGGAAGTAGGTGCTCTCCATGGCCATGGGAAGAGGTGACCTGAGTACATGTCACATGCCAGGGTGTGAGATACAGGGCTATATAAAATACAGCCCTGCTGG